CTATAACACATAATTCACGTAATTCATCACATAATAAGACTGAATTTTTAATTTTTGACATTAGTTGTCGCACTTCTACTATTTCTTGATCAACTATTTCCATTCCTTGCTTAACTGCAAGGTTAAGTATATGTGCTGAACAACGATAATGGCTGAAGGTAAGATTATTTAATTCTTTTTCAAATTCTTCTGATAATTTCCGTCCACATACCGACTAACATCACAGATTCATTATCTGTAGTAAGTGCTAACGCTTTACCTGCTAAGTTGAATTCATTAAGAACATTAGTGATTGCTGCTGCCATATTGATTCCTGTATGACGAACTTTAAAAGGAATAATATCAAGTAAAAAACGCTGAAGAACCCAATTTTGGTCAATATAGTGAATTGTTAGGCCAAGGTATGCTTCACTACTTATAGTTGATGTCCACATATCGGCAGTGAAGGAAACTTTACTGGATATTTTTTGTAAATCATAGCCAATATTAGAACGACGTTCATTAAATTCATCAATAATCATTTCTTTTATTTGATGTCGATCAGGAATTTTGTAACGAGGATCGAAAATATGCATCATTTCAATAAATTTTTCATTTTTCACAACACTAAAAGGTTGTTGGTTATCAATAATCCAAATAACAACTGCTTTGTCTCGCTCCAATTTTTCTTTTGCAGGCCAAGGGTCTGTACATTTGAAATCTAATGTTGTTTGCTTTCTGACCTTTGGGATTATTATGTTGTGCTTATTTAAAAGATGCCGTTCAATAGTAGTATTACTTGACTTAATAGAAAATACATAATTGCACCTTTTGCATACAGGTACTCCCGGGTGAGCTGGGCTTTTACAATCTACATAATTCCATAGAGGTGAAGTTTTTCGAGAACTTTCTTCAGTATGTAATATGTTATCCAAAATGTCGTCACTCTCCAAGTCAACAAAATTAAACGTGTCATCTAAACTCATTGTATAAGTTTGTACAACAAAAATTAAAATACCGTGTAATATATATACCAAATGTAAAAACCCTTTTTATTGGTTAGGACTTATTTAAGACTAACTCCTTATTAGTCCAAAAAATCGGACTTAAAGATCTGCAGACTCAGTGTTAGGACTGAGTCTTTAGGTCCGAAATAAGGACTTTTACCAACCCTATCTGAGGCACAACATATATGTATTCTTCAGAATTCTACTCCAGATATCTTCAAAACAGATCATAAATCACATTTTTAGCAAATTGGCTTATTTTTCAAAGGCTCAAAAAATCATTTTTTGAGTTTTAACAAAAAGGAATGTTTTTGGCCAAAAAGTCTATTATAACCTTTATATTGGATATCTGGAGTTCTTATGTGACATACTAGGTCTGATCATTCAGATTTTTAATCAAAATTAAAATGATTATTTAATTGCTTATCTCTTTATCAATCTTGACATATCACCGATGTAACATATGAAGTATATTATTGGGTAATATCACATAAATGTCAATTATATTATTTGAATTTGCTTTATAGATTTAATAATTCTTGCAGACCTATGGCAGTTATTATTTGACTATGACCAACTTTTCTAAAAAAAAGGAATCTCATATAAAGGTATTTAGTAAAGGATCTAACAAGCACATAATAATTATTATCCTTAAAAAAAAATAATATAATTAAAAATTCTTTCCTGTACCGTTCACGTCCATTTTTTACATAAGAAATAAAATGCTTTTTTCTCATTATATTACTAGAAAATTAGCACTTCAGTATTAAGGCAAAAGTGTTTCTTGGTTAAAACAACATACTTTTTATTATCGCTCTTTTCAGTTCAAAATAGTTTACAAGGACTTAATAGTCCTTTACAGAAAATTTTTTTTTGTTTTCTTGTGAAGTTTTCTTCAAAAAAGGCATAAATACAGTGCAGTGGTGCACCAATTAGATAAAAAATGCTAAATAAAGAAATATTTATCGGCTATACTTTTTTCTGTCCAGAAAAAGTGAAACAATACACAGGGGCTGATACGATATATTCCACTTGAAAAGGAAAGTCCTATATCTTTTTATATGTGGATTCGTTAAAAGATATGTTGATAATTGTCACCAACAATAAACATATAATAAAGAAATATAATAAGCCTTTTAAGATTAATTTGGATAGGGCTATTATGAATACTAAATACAGGATTTCAAAATACTTGACGAATGTATTTTGTGGGTTACCTATATATTGACATAGAAGCTCGTAATAAGTACTTTGCTATCAGTAGTGATTTTTTTGGTAGTATTTTATAATGCTTTTTAAATAATATTAATAGGAATTTTTGACATGTCATGTAAATATTATATTTAATAACATATATATTAATAAGTCTATTAACAAGTATAATATTTAATATAATATTATAATTAATATAAAAGGATAATTGTTATATATTACAAAATTATTATTTTTTTACATTTTATTGTAATATGGTATTTTAATATATATTAAATTATAATAGCAATCATATTGTCAATTATTACAAAATATACATTATAGGATTATTATATGGTAATCAAAAAAATAGGCACTGATAGCTAAGTATTTTTTACGAATACATCAATTATTATTAGATAAACTTGTTGTAATAGAAAATAGATTAAAGAAACAAGAAAAGAACAAATAAACTACAACTTATATTAAATTCAGTTATAGTAGACGAATGTGGTATTTAGGATTTTATATCCCATGTTCGTTTTGTAGTAATGTTTGTGTTTATGTCATATCAAGAAATAGAAAAGTTCAAAATTGTCACTCAAACGTGATAGTAACTCCTACACCTTCATCACAGAATATGTTCAAAAATTTTAGTTAAATTAAACAAGTAATAAGTAAATAAGTAGGTGTGACTTATACAAAAAAAGTTTCGATGAATAGTGAATCAGATAAATATGCTGTTACGTATTCAAATTTACGTGTTAATAAACAATTCAAACCAACAAAAGAATAAGAGAAGTATAAAAAAAAATTCAAGAATAGCCTTAAGAGTAATAAGAACAAATGGCAGGTTACAAATTATGGAATTGAATCAAAGTACTCATTTCCAAACAAAGATTAAAGTGTAGAATTGATATTCTCAAAAAACACTATATATCAGTAAAAGAAATGAAGTTTCTGATGGATCAAGTTACAAGTGAAAAGAGATACAATATGTTGAAAGAAGATATTTTTATAAATCATTCTTTTAATGAAAAACATTTTTTTGAATTAAAAAAGAAAAAAGAAGTTTCTTTTGAACGTAAAAATAGTAATGTAATAGAACAGTCAACTAGTGTTATTATGGGTATTATGGTAGACAATATTATCACTAACCTACAGGAGCTGATAATCAGTGTACAAGATAATGTCGCTCCCTGGCAAGAAATACTTAAAAAAGAGGTGCCTATTACAAAGGCAGAATTTCATCGTGGGTTGAATAGTATCAGAGATAGTCAAACTTTAACAACATATTGTAATGGAATGAGAAAAGGAAGACGTGCACGTGGTGTCACTCATGATTACATAATTAATCAGTGTGCAATTAGAGCTCGCAAAATAGAGCAAAGTTTGTGGTATTAAGAACATAAGTATAAAATTAGTTATTCTTGTTTTGTTTTTCTATTTTCTTTTATGAGATGACTAATTTTTTAGAATTAAATTATCAAAATAAAAAAATGAGTAATTACTTTGGTTTTATATTATTACCTATTTGATAATATTTACATAGGGCTATTTAGTTAGAAAGAAAAATATATAGATAGATTATCTATTGAATTCATTATTATAGTTTTTACATCATTCCATATTTGATTATATTTACATATGGCAAACTTTATTTGAAAGAAAAATATATAGACTTCTTTTAGTAGTTTTAACAAATTAATTAGAAATTTTTTTCGTGTTATTTCATCATTCTGTATTCGATAGTATGTACTAAAGCTCCTAACGGTTTGGGCTAAACCGAGGAACTGATCTGAAACCAGCTCAAAATTCAGTTCAGTTCGGTTCGGGTATTAGAACTAAACATGGGTAATGAAACCGAAACTTCCTGAAACTCTGTCAGTTTCGATATATACGAAATAGAGTTTTGGAAATGCATATATTTTTCTGATTCCCGAATCCCGACCCGAAACCGAAATAGCGTCAGGTATTATGAATTTCTTGATGATTATTGAGCACGTGATTTCGTCAATATGACGTATGGCACAGTTGTTTAAGCAATTTAATTGGGTAATGCTGGTTTTGGGATATCGGGATAGGTTTCAGAATATCAGAAGTTGTTTCGAGTTTCGGTAGAAGTTTAGGTTACGGGTTGAGTTTTGATTTGTATATACTAAAACCCGAAACATTCGGAAATGCTCTTAGGAGTTTCGATACCCATGTTTAATTAGAACTGAAAAACTGGCAGTTCGGTTCAGTTTAATCCAATTTTTTATAAAAATGCGAAAAATCGAATAACAATCCATCTAGTGATCGTACAGAGTAGAGCCATATATCATTGGATTCGTCTTGACGAGATGTGTCAAATGGTGGTAAGATCATATCTCTAGCATCGATAGATCACACGTTAATCCATGCTAAATGATTTATCAATATTTGGAATTATCAAGCTATCTATCAATGCTAGAGACATGATCTTAGCGTCATTTGATGCATCTCAGTGAGAAGAATCCAATGAATATAAATTCGTCTGTATACGACTACTGGATGGTGAATAATGTCAAGTTTCACATTTTTTAAAAATTTTTGAGCGTTAAAAATTAAAAATTCCGATACATGAATTTATTTGCCGTCCAATGGTCATACAAATATGAATTAGAACTCATTGGATTCGTCGTGATGAGACGAATCAAATGGTGGTAAGAACACGTCTCTAACATCGATAGATAGCTTGATAATGCCAATTTTTTATAAATCATTTAGCATGAATTAACTCACGATTTATTGATGCTAGAGACATGATCTCACCACCATTCGACTCGTCTCATCCAGGCGAATCCAATGAGTCCTAATTCATATTTGCACAATCATTGGACGACAAATAAATTCATGTATCAGAATTTTTAATTTTTAACACTCAAAAATTTTTAAAAAATGCGAAACTTGACATTATTTGCCATCCAGTGGTCGTACATGGACGAATTTATATTCATTAGATTCGTCTCACTGAGACGCATCGAATGACGCTAAGATTATATCTCTAGCATCGATAGATAGCTTGATAATTCCAATTATTGATAAATCATTTAGCACAGGTTAACGTGTGATCTATCGATAATAGAGACATGATCTTACCACCATTCAACGCGTCTCATCGAGACGAATCCAATGATATATGGCTCGACTTTGTACGATCACTAGATGGACGGCTATTCAATTTTTCGCATTTTTATAAAAATCAGATTAAACTGAACCAAACTGCCAGTTTTTCGGTTTGGTTTTTACAGATTTTGGCTTTAATCTGAACCGTCTATAATTTGGACCAACCCGACCTGTTCAGAGTTTTACTCTATGTTCTTTTACTAAATTTCTTATAGATGATAAATAAATCTGGAAATGAAAAACAGGGAAAAAAGAATTCATAAACTGATTGGCTTAGAAATAAGCAAATTATAGTTTATAATAGAGATGAAATAGATGATTACTTAAGCAATACTTTTGAATAAATCCTTTACCAAGTGGAGGAGAGAGGAGGTAAATCTAATGCTTAAGTATCTATTGAGGGAATAATTGCGCATCTTTTACAATTTGGAGTTCTTCTCTTACAAATAAGCGTCTAGAACCCTTGTAAAGTTTGTAGAGAATAGGCTGATTTTCTTTTATCAAATAAGAATCAATTGTAAAGACTTCAGGAGACCAATTGCAATCAGTTACCCTTCTTCTCCTAGTACCTTTTAATTCACCAGGTTCTAATAGATACTAAACTTTCGTATAGCTAGGTAAAAGTGGTTCATTATAACCAACTGGTCTTTTATGAAAACAACTATTTAAATTTGCGTTTAGGAAGCATCCAGGAACTTGTAGACCTACCAAAAGTAGAAAAGTAAAAATTTCAGTTAATTAGTAATGTTTCATTAAAAAAAATAACATTTAAACTTCGAAGAATACCTTTAAAGTTCCATCCAGGTGCAATTCAAGAAGTCGCGGACCTACAAATTTCATTTCCTTGAAAATCTTTATTTTTTTTTCAAAGTTCCATCCAGATGTCATCCAAACCAGTGACTGAAATTATGACAATCAACCAGCATTAAAAAAATATAGTGCCGGTAAAAATTGATAATTCTGGCTAATGGTGATGATCACTTCCAGTAATTTGAAGTAAAAACCAATATTAGATTACTACACGTTATTTATATATAAATTTACAAAAAAGTGAGATTTGTCTAAGGTCAAAAAGGCTGTTTTTCAAATAATTTTTGAGAAAAATGCAAAATGTTGATTTTCAAATTTTTACTTTACTAAAGGTTTTTTTTTTTAACAAAAATTTCAAAATTTTGTCATGGTTAACATCAAATTTATTTATTATATAAGTTAAAATTTTGCGATCAGTAATTTTTAACTCGGGGCAAAATTATAAATCATTTTATAACTGGCAAAATTATATTTAGAAAATTTCAGAATTAGAAACCTATCAATCATTCCAAGTAAAATACATACTTCTTTATAATCAATTTGATGAGTTACTCCAATCGTATTTACAAAAACAAGTGTGTGTCAAAACGTAAACACCAATGATGTTAATGGACTGATTTCAAAGTTTGAATGAGTTTATTAAAATTTAATTTTAATTAACTTTCAATTCAATCTATAAATTAGTCAGGATATTCGGAATTAAGAATGCTAATTGTCAATTAATTATTTTCAGAAAGACGGCGATGAGATTAAAAATTTGAAGTAATAGTTCTTTGGAAACTGCACAGAATATAATGATAGCCCGAGCGATTTTGGTGATTAGTTATTTTGATAATGCATAAATGATAAATAAGTTACATACTGTAATTTGGTGAATCAAAAAACCCGCAATAATGATTATTACTGCCACTTCAAAAGATCCATGGATTATTCTTGGGAACACGAGGGACTTTTTTACTATGTTTCGTCTATACGTTGAGTATAAAGCCAGATATCATCGACGTGAGGACATTTAAGATTTTTAGTTTTTACAGTTGCGAGACGTCGGAGCTGTGGAACAAAACAAAGCTAATCTAGTTTATAGTAACGCGCATTAAGATTTATGACCATTGGTTATATTACCGCAAATTAAAGAACATATCCTCATCCAGTCTTAAGTAAGATGATCGTTATAAGTGACTCAATATTATAGTAATTAATTTTATTAATCATTAAGTTAAATAATTTCAAATTTTTGCATTTTATATAAAACGTTCTTAAAAGTTTGTACGACGCATGGTTAGCATTAATTTTTCGTAATTTTAGTAAATAATGTATAGGATAATCTATAGGTTAATTTAAAAAAAATTTGCACTAATATGGTTTAAAATTTATCTATACAAAATCGTACAAGTGTAACAATATAAATTATTAGCTCTTTTTTAAAAAAAGCTGCTTTCCATCTCTCACAAATAAGTAAAAAGTTGTATAGTAAATTATTCGGGAACTTATTTTTCAAAATTCGTTTAACGCAAATAAGAGTTATATTTAATAATTTTTTTTTTTTTGGGACTATTAACTTAAGATCTTTGCCAGCTTATAAATATTAAAATGGGAGAAAATCCACAGTACACACAATCTTGGTATTAATTTATGCTTTTACTTTTATGTGTATACCTTTTACTTCTTTTAACCTACCGTTCTTCCTTAGGCCTTATCCATATGATCCAAGCCAACAACAATATTTGGCGCCTCCAGGAACACAAACAGCAGATTATCCTAATTACTACACTGCAGCTGCAACTGTTTCTCAACCCTTTGTTCAGTATCAACCTCAATATCAGTATTCTAGCACTCCCGTTAACGCTTATACAAACACAGTTAACGCTTCTACTGTGTTTGGTCCTCCAGGAGTGACACCACAACCTTCCCCTTCAACTTTTCAACCAAATCCACCAGGTGTTAATGCAAACACTTTGTGGTACTCTTCGACGACGATGTCTACTCCTGCGACTTATCAAACTAACATTTATTCTACAGCTTCATATGATCCTAATCAATACTATCAAGCGCAGTACTTAAATTATCAGGTTCAAACAGCTCCGAACTCGATTTCTTACCCTACTTTCTCACCAGTTTCTGTACCTCCCGTCGCGACTAATTCAGTAGCATCCTTTAATCCTCAACCACCGTATGTATATTTAATTATTATTATTTGTTATTATTATTGTTGTGTTTTGATTTATTAATTAATATAACAATATTATTGTTAAATAGTACTTCTGCTCCTGCTATTATTACCACCACAAGCAATGCTATCATTAATAGTGTTAGTCAGAGCGAAAAGCCGATCGCAAACGATGTTCAGCAGAATGCTTCTGGAAACTCGAACGTAAATTCTGGAGCTGAAGATCCTAAATCAAGTAATTATCAAGTTTATAATTAAAAGATATTTCTTCTGGCACTTCGAATAGACCTTCATTTTTTATTATAGAGCCATTATACCGTCCAATAAAAATGGTACGAGGAAATATGAAATCTTCTCCTAAGATTAATCCGTTAAGTCCGAAATCAGAGTCTTCAATTCAAAATCCACCAGAGTATGTTTTATTACTTGTGATTTTATATAGTGTAAAAGTGAATTAAATTAGAATTTCGCTTTAATATATAGGAAACAGCCGGAAAATAGGGAATGGCCAGAGAGTTTGAAGTAAGCGCTTTTTCGCCATTTTTATAGTTTTGTTTATATGTAAAATATTATATTTATCTCGACTTTTTAATAAGGGATTATGTCCAGCGAAGTTTCAACGCGGCTCCACATAATATTGATGCAATTGAGAATGAATTAAAAAAGATAATTGCGACTAAACTGGCAGAAGGCGCATTATATCAAACTGATTGGACGGAAGTGGAATTACCGAAAAGTTGCAGGTGTGATTTATTTTGCATATTTAAATTAACGATGATTGCATATTAATGATATTATTATTCTTTCCATTGACAGCGTAATTAAAGAAAAGGATAATAAGCGAAAAATGTAAATATGTAATTTAATTTAATAATTTATTTTTTGAATTTGCTTTTATTCATAAATGTATAATGTGTTTAACTTATCATTTTCTAGCTTTAAATCACATAGTCGTTCTCCAGATAGAAATTCAATTGAAAACGATCGTGAATTCCAGAAAAGGGAAAAACGCGCCAAGCGTTTTCAAACCGACAAAAATACTAAATCATGGGGATCTCCTTCCGCAGTATGTTTTTAGATACCTCAGTAGTACCTTCGGAAAAAAATATTTATTTATTTCTTTCTTTTAATCACAGGAAAATGATCCTGTGATTAACGATTTGGAGAATACGATTGTTGGAACCTGTCAGAATCTTGAAAAATCATATTTGAGATTGACTTCCGTGTGTATAAATACTTGGCCTTTACTAACAGACATTCATCGTCTTTTTTCATTATTTTCTAGTATTCAGTCTATTCTACTAACTTAAATAATTTGTAAATTACGGCAGGCTCCTGATCCATCGACTGTTAGACCTAAGCGTATATTGAAGAAAACACTCGAATTTTTAAAAGAAAGATGGGTCAGAGAACAAAATTATACTTATATATGTGATCAGTTCAAATCTTTACGACAGGACTTAACGGTTGGTTAACTTTGTCATTTATTATTGTTAATTTATATCATCTTTATGAATGCTTATAATGTATCCAAGGTTCAACGTATACAAGATGAGTTTACCGTAAGAGTTTATGAGACACATGCTCGCATAGCGCTTGAGAAGGTAACAATTTATCTATTTTCTATAACATTAATAAAAGGAATACATGTATTTATATTCATATTTATAATGTGTAGGGCGATTTGGGTGAGTATAATCAATGTCAAACACAACTAAAGGAACTTTACAGGTTAAATATTCCAGGTCACGTAATGGAATTTATGGCATATCGACTTCTGTACTTCCTATATACGAGAAATCGTTCCGGTAAATTGTTATTTTAATAGCGGGTATATATTATATATTACACATTCTTAAGAATTTATGATTTTCTTTTTTTTAGATATAAATTCATTGATCGCAGAATTAACAGATGAAATGAAGAGAGATGAATCAATAAAACATGCATTAGAGGTTAGATCCACTCTGGCTACTGCAAATTACCATAAGTTCTTTGAGTTGTTCCTTAAAGCGCCTAATATGGGAGCTTATCTCATGGATCATTTTATTGAAAGAGAAAGAATAGCCGCTTTAACAGTATTGTGCAAAGCGTAAGTAATCTATACAATTTATTCTAAATTTGCTAAGTCACATGATATCTCACAAAAATTATTTTAATTTAGTTTCCGGCCTAATCTTGACCTTGAGTTTGTACGTTCCGAATTAGCTTTTAATGATCTCGAAGAATGTAAAGAATTTCTTAATACACATAATGCTGCTCCTTTCATAAATCCAAATAACACTTTAAACACTAAGGACGCTTACAGATCAATTGAAGCGAGTGGCAAAAAATTTGAGAAAGTTGATATCAAAGGACAAATTTGATGGAACGACAATTTTTTTTTTTTTTGTTGTCAATATTTAGGCGAATTACAACAAACACAATCTATTACAATTGGAAGACTAACTTACATCCGTGAGATTTCAGCCCTAATCAATTGAACTAGTTTATTTATATCTGTTATTTGCTTTTGATAATCGTTTTTATTTCATAGATTTTTGACTTATACACACGTTAACATACATTATTTATGGCAAGGAATTGCCAAACTATATTCAAAAGAAAAATATAATAATTATTGACTGATTGATTTAGTTTGGAATAATATTAAGAATAATCAAAAAAGGTCCATGACAATGGATATTGTTGGATATTGGTTTTATTTTTGGTTAGTATTGTTTAGAAGTGAATTTTTAATGCGAGGAATTATCAATGTAATGCAATAATAAAAGATGTATATATTATATATATTATGACTGTATGGCCGAATAAGTGATTTATCCGGTATCACGACTATCACGTGATTTGAAATATTATTGCGCCCCAGGTTCCCATTGGATCCGATGTGGAGTTGGCTCGGATTCCATGTAATGACGACAGAAGACATGGATCCGGATGATTTACAATTGATTACAAATCAAAAAATTCCAGATGTTGATCAATCGGACCCGGTTCACAAGCCAGAATCAATGGAACTAGGGGCGAAAATTAGTATAGCTTTCTTGGGGGGGTGTACGATATTAACGCCGAGTTAACGTTAACGCTATCACATGCAAGTGACACCCTAGTCCCTAGAAGGACCCCGGATAATTATAGTTGAGGTCACATCCGACTATGTTTTAAACTTTATACATTATAATTTTATTAAGTTAATATTATAAGATAATATAGAAAAAAATGGTTCTTTTAAAGAAAAGAATCTTTTAATAATGCAAATTTACTGATTAAAATTAGAGATAAAGTTGTGTAACAAGGCAAAATTTGAAAAAAATATACACTTTTTCACAATCAGTATACATAGAAATATTCAAAAAAATAAAAAACTACATTATTAAATTCAAAATGGCAATAATAAATTTTTAAAAATTCTTAACATAGGGGATATGACCTTGATTATAATTGTCTGGGGTCCTCCTAGAATCGCAATATTTCAAATATTTCAAATCACGTGATACATTAAAACAAACGGATTTATGTGCATAGTTAGGATTAGGGTAGTAATTCGTCACATAGTGTCACGGCTTCAATTGTCACGCATACTTTGAATATCGAAAATTTATACCATTATTTGAGATATATTTTTAAACCTAATATGAATCCGGTTACCATTTTTTTCCTGGTGACGCTGGGGTTATAAAGTATATATATGCGGGATATATATTTCGATTTACAAAAATGTTTTTTTTCTACAAATCGACAGCTTAAAAATTTTTGAAATAGCGTACAATTAATTACATTTAGCAAAATATGTTCATGTATCAAAGATTTTTTTATATTATATTGCAAAAAATAACAATAAAATTACAAATAACTGAAATAAAAATTTAATACATAAGAATACAACATAGCATTAAAATAAAGCATAATAATACATTACTTGCAATACACCGATTTTCTTTTTTCAGTCGTCCTGTTCAAACCAATTTTTATCAATTGATAAAATGTTACTTTTAACGTCTTTTATTGTGTACATAGCTTTTGGGTTTAATATAAACATGACATTTATGCGCATGACGAAACCAAAGAAAAGAATTCTTTTTCTTTGTAGTAGAGATAGTAACCCACTGACGGCATTGATGGCACAATCCTTCGGTACAATCACCAGCATCAGATTTTCGCGTTTCAACTGGCGGAACAAACATTTTGCCGGAAACAGAAGAAATACCGTGAAAGAATTGTTTATGGTACCTTAATCAACCAATGATTAAAGAAATTATTAATACTAACCGACGAACAACTGAATTTGAAGATACATATGATAATAAGAAATGTACCAATAAGCGCTATTTTTCAATTGTAACCATTTACCCGGTTTGCAATTATCGCAATATCCTTCTTTAATGTGACCTGAATATCTCACCCATTGGGGAGTATACATGTCACCTGGATATTTAAGCTTTTGATTTCGAGGTTTTGCATCTAGTCTTGTATCACTAGGATCGACCGGAGGTCCTGGAGTTTCTGGAACAGTATCATTCATATCAATTTTCGGTTGAATTTGATGTGCAACAAACTTTTGGTATATGTCATATTCATTAATATTTGATCCAACAGATCCAATTGTTAAAAATGATAGGTTAGGTGTAAGACTAGTTCCTTGATTTTCAACAAACGCCTTTGTTTCTTTACTTATAAAATGATATGAATTGCTAGTTTCGTTTAAAGAGTTCTCGGGCATGCCGTTATTCAATACACATTTGCGAGCAGGCGCTTGTTCAAGGTAATAATTTGCAGCTGTTAAATGGATGGGTGAAAAAACGACCTGATCTCCCCAACAATAATAAGGAATGGTTGGCTGTGAAAAAGGTTGGATTGAACCCAATGAATTGTTGCAATGATTACCAACGATATTCCAAGAATAAGACATAATGACATTACGATTAGGTAATGATGAATTCTCATCTCCATATGTCTCATTATTGCTACATAATTCATTGCAACAAGTTGTCATAAAACGAGGTTCTAAGAACGAGGGCAACTCGGGGAATAATTGTTCACTTGATGCTGTTGGTGAAAATCTTTCATTATTCATTTCATTAGAATCATTTACTTGATCTTTATAAATAGGTTCCAAGTGATAATTGCCATCCGTTGGTATCGATATAACTCGATTCTCCTGTTGAGTAGAAGGTTGCAATTGCGGAAAACTTAATTGCTGCAAATCAAGAATAGTCGTTCTGAACATTGGTCCTGAGTACAAAGATACATGATCACGATTTTCTTCATCTTCGTTACTAAGAGAATAAGGATCAGGTTTTGGTAAAGTAAGTACTAAATTATTGTTGAATGATCCATTTTTCTCTGAATTTAAGTTTGAATGAGAACTATGATTATCTAATAAGTAAGCTGGCTGTTCAAAACGGCTTACTTGAGAAAACGTATCATGTGTCTCTAAAGACTCCCGCTGGCTTGAGTGCTCATGGTTTTTCAAGTGATAATCGAACTGATCAGGAGTTTGATATTCTTTAACAAGTTGGTTTGTAGTTATTTCTTCAATTCTTTGAGTATTACTTTGATTATAAAGATTTGGACATGAATGATTGTATTGTTGGCAACGACGGGGATCACAATGATTATATAAATTTGATTGGTTAGAACCGAAATTTGACTTTTCAAAGCTATTTAAATTATCGCACATGTTATTGTTTTCAATCGAACAACGATCAGGTATTGGAGAATAGTTTAGCGCTTTATGTCATTATTTTAATGAAAAAGGGAAAAAATAATATTCAGCTTTGAAATAATTCAAACGTTCCAATATAAATATGCAACAGAAATTTTAATTCAATTGAAATTAGTTGAAATAAATTACATTGATTAACAATCATTTCAGTTTTGCCTGAAATACCAGTTAATGGCGATTGTTCAAGAAGTTTTCCTTCTGTTGGCAATCGTTGACGAATATTAATATCTGGTATGGTAAAAGTAATTTCTTTACCAAAGGATTTTGGAGAATACATGGTTTGAATCGTTTCGACAAGCATATATGGCTAATCAAAATAGTCTTCAGTAAAGTTGGAAGTAATGCAAATTCTGAAATAGGACGAGGATGTGCTATAAGTTTAAGAATTGGGACTTTCTATATAAAAGAGGGTATTTGATATTCTAAAAAAAAAAAAATTTACTTAATTGATCTGAAAAGTGAACGTATAAGAACGCGTAACCGTTAAATAAATATTGTGCAATGCAGATCTGATGCAACATTAAAAATAAGGTTTAAAATTTTCCGAAAGTTTTGCACAGGTTTATCCATAAAAAGTAAATCTAATTTTGGATATTCACTAACCTTTATCAAAGCTGTAGCAGAATAAGTTTTAAAGAAAAAACAAGTCAATTAATTTATTCTGTCGCAGGCTTATTAGCTTATTAATAATTATAAGAATTAATGATGATATGATGATATTGATGATATCATTTATAATTCTTATGATTTATGATTTGATAAGATCACTATATTCGAATTTTCAAATAGACATCATATCTATCATATCTAACAATTTTATAGGTGTAATTTTTTATATTTATTAAATAAATCAATTTGATATTCTATTGACTACTAATTATAATAAAAATTATCTAATATTGCTTATATATTACTATTATTTCTGAAATAAAATTTTTAATTATAAGGGTTGTATAATATTAAAATAAATAATTAACATGACATGAAATCAGCAAGTTCATATAATAGTTGAGAAGTATAATTGTTTTTAAAAGGACTATACATAAAGCCAGTCACTGAGTCACTATGAGCCATTTCTGCAGGTATTCTTAGTCTTAGATCTTTTATGTTTAATTCATTTAACATACCATTAAATCTTAATGTAGATTCTAATGGAACAACTTTATCCTTATTTCCATGAATAAACAATATTTTTGCAGGCATCAACCTTTTTAGCTTATCCATATTTATATCTCTACTTTTCAAAGCATTTTCAATAAGAGTTGTAGGTGAATTCAAAGCAAAGCTTTCTTGTGTGCCACCCATTACTCGAGCCATTGCAGAAATCTCCTCTACACCACGGTTAGATTCCCATATAAAATGTCTTGATATATCAAACACGCCAGACAATCTATCAAAAAAAAAAAAAAAGATTTATTTAATTATTTTTAAATTTCAAATAATATAAAATTAGTTAAATAACTTACAATATTAATCCATGAATTTTTGGCAACTCTAATTCAGGATCAATATCTTCTAAATTCGTAAATTCTCGAGCTACCAGGTTTGAATTAGTTTGAGATTTAATAATTGCATCTCTAATTGTTACGAGAGAAGCTAAATGGGCGCCTGCTGAATGCCCCATAAGATGGATTTTATTAGGATCACCACCAAATTTACTGTAATATAATACAAAAAAAATAAATGTTATATATAAATAATAAATAAATTAAAGTTAAAATAATCTATAATATAGTCATACTTGATATATCTTTTCGTCCAAACTAAAGATCGTTTGATATCAGAAATAATTAGATCAATCTTCGCCTAAAAGAAAAAAAATAATAATAGTTAAATAATCATAAAGGAACAAAGGGTAATTATAATAATTCATTTGAGTCTATTAGTCACATACATTTGGATATAGAGTATAATTAGGGACAACTACCACGTAACCCAGATGTCTTAATCGGAGAGCTAATAGACTGTACATTATTTTATCGCCTATTTTAAAAAAAAATTAAATAAAATATTAACTTTCTTATTGAACATCGAATGCTAAAGAAAAAAAATCTTTAATTAAAATACCAGAGCCCCAAGCTCCACCATAAATAAACACAATCACGGGATGTGTAGCTTTATCAAAAAATTGTTGCTGTAACTTTGCGGTATCGGGAATATAAACATCAAGACGATTTGTATTCGTTTGGCTTCCATAAAATATGTCTTCTCTTTTTAACCAAAAAAAAAAAGTTAATCATATGTTTTCTTAATGCAAAAATATAAATTTAAGATACTACTTTATAATTCGCCGAAGCTTTTTCCTTAATACAAAGAATCTCAGATATCCATATTCTGCTAATAATGGCAGATAAAATATGGAAGCCCACAATGCTTGAAATATGGCATAATTAACTTTTATTATGCGTTTGGGGTTATATGGAACATTGAATTCACGATCTGTTTGAGCTATAAAATGATAAAAGGTTAAAATTTTCAAAGATTTAATATAAAGGTTAAAATGTCAGATTTAATAGTTTCAATAATACTTACCAAAGGATAAATATGCCAACCATGCAATACAATAAGCACCAACTAAATCGTTTATATAATCGTGAAATATTAATTACCTTATCATGTTTCTTTTTAGAAAAAAAAGATACCAATATATAAACTTACCAACGCTACACCCAACAGCGGTTGGCAAAAAAAAACACCCAAAGAGTGTAAATGGTGGAATAAGCATTAGTATTAAGATTGTTGAACAAATCAAATATGAACCACCAAGCAAGATAATAAGCGCGTGCCGCAATAAACGAATTTGCAAGTCTGTCATGTTTGCTTGTGATAATAAACAAAGGGGGTTTCTTTAAAAGCGAATTTGAGGCTAAACCTAATATAGTAGCTTTGAAAGTCAATACGTTAGTATAACTTATTGGCTTGTAAAAGAAAACAAGTACTCATAACAATAATTTTGTTTGGGAGGTAGGAGGATAGCGATAAAGTTGTACTTTTTATGATAGGATTGATAGCGTATCCTGCACACCAGATATTTGTTAATCGACATCGATTTGCGTATTTATTTTGTAAATTATAAATAAATTGAGTTCTATAAATTTCCCGGTATGCCCCCAAAGAAGATGACACCATACCAATTCAAAAAAGGCCTTACTTATGTCAAGAAGGTAATAATATTAATGATTATTAAATTCATAAAAAATGTGGAAATTAAAATTTATATGTTAAAATTTAGGTTCCAAATTTCCTGCAAGGGCTAACCTCTCATACAAATGATTATATTGATGATGAACAAAAAGCAAGTGAAGATTTCAGTGATAAAGAACCTTCGGATGATGAACTTAATGCGACAAGAGAAGAAGAAAGACCTCAAATTGTAGTATTAAAAGAAGGAAAACATATGAGCGAGGGAGAAGTAAGATCGTATCTGGATTCTAGGAGAAAATCTAAAGAAAAGGGTTTGTAGGTTCATTTCTTATTGTTATATTAATCACTATGTGATAATCGATTTATTTATTAATGGATAATAGACTCTTCCTTGGTGGAAAATAAAGAAAGTGATATCGACGATAATATTCCAACTGTAGATGAAAAAACTGGAAAAATTCTTTTTCGTAAACCGAAAACGAAAAATACAAACAAATCAGAAACAGTCGTGGGCTCTCATTCAAAGGCAAAAAATGAATCTAAAGTGCCAATAAAAGCAATTAATGAGGTCATCGATGGCATGAAGCGTAAACGCAATAATGAAATTGAAAATGATAAATCTGGAAAAAAACCTAAAACGGCGAAAAAGAAATCACAATCTCATTTGAGTTTTAATAACGATGAGATATTATAATATCCACCAATAATGTTATTGTTGACATTGTTGATCAAATTTTGTAAAAAACGCATTACCATAATTTTTACTATAGTTAATATTACTTTAAAATGCCATTCGCTTTTGTTCAACACCTTAAAAATAAACGCATTATTCTCGCTTCTGGTTCTCCACGTCGACGAGAAATTTTATCAAGGTTAGGTTTAAATTTCGATATTGTACCCAGTAAATTTCCTGAAACTTTAGATAAAGCAAAATATGCACCTTCTGAATACGCTATTGCAAATGCAACTGAGAAAGGTTTGGAAGTGTATGGACGACTAGCGGTTCGTATTTATATTATAAAGAATTATAGTGAATATTATTTTTATTTCAAATGTAATGTGTATTCGATTATTATTATTTGTTAATTATGAAAGCAAGAGGATCAAGAAGTTGATATTGTGATCGCGGCTGATACAATTGTTTCAATAGATGATGACATTTTGGAAAAACCAAAAGATGCCGAAGATGCTTTACGAATGTTAAAGAGGCTTAGTGGAAGATCACATCGGGTTTACACAGGGGTCGCTTTTATTTATTCTTTAAGAGAACCTATTCACCCAGGTTATAATATCGTCTCTTTTACGGAAGAAACCGAAGTTATGTTTAGAGAATGTAACGAAGATGATTTAAAAGTGTACATCGAAACAGGCGAACCAATGGATAAAGCAGGTGCATATGGCTATCAAGCATTTGGTTCATTCTTTGTCGAAAAGATTAACGGGTAATTATTTTTTATAAAATTTCATCTATATCTATCTAAATATATTAAATATTCCTATATCATATTATTTCCTATATAGGTGTTACTATAATGTAGTTGGACTTCCAATTAAAGTCTTCATAGAATTAGAGAAATTAGTAAAAAAACAAGAATTTAACTGTGTTACCAAAGATCTCCAAAATAATTATTAAATAACCAATAAAGAACGCTCTTAATTTGTTCGAATTCTACAAAATACAATAAAAGAACTGAAATTATACTAACTGCTACAGATATTATAATTAATTTTAAGTTTGTCGAATTTTTAAGTTTTTTACGAGAAAGATCAATTTTCTTTGAAAGATCAGCATCTTCCCCACCATAATGTTTTGCTAATTGAAGGGCGGCAAATGCTTCATTATATTTCTTTTGTTCAAGCAATATACATCCTAAATATTACAAGAAAAATGAAAATTTAAAATCCAAAAAATCATATTTTTTTTTTAAAAAAAAATAAATATTACCTTTACGATAATATCCTTTTGGCCATTTAGGGTTTAATCTAATACAAGTTTCTGCATGAACTAAAGCATCATCTAGCTCATTTAGTTTAGACAATACAAGAGCTTGATTCGAATGGATTAAAATATTGTTAGGATCAAGTTCTAATGCCTCTGAATATATATCCGAACTTTCTTTGAATTTTCTTAATTTATATAGCTCATTTCCTTGTAATCTTAGTTTTTCTGCCGCCTTGTTTGTTTCTATAGATTGTTCATCATTCGTTCCAACTTCTGATTTATCATCTTCATTGATCTTCTCTTTAATAGCTCGTGGGTTTGTTGTCTTTTCTATTTCTAATCGTTTTTTTAACAATTTTTCTGCTTCCTCAATCTGCCCTAATTCTTTATAACACTTTGCCAATCTTGCATATGCCACAGAATGTAAAGTTGAATTTCCCGGCGCTAATTCTTCACTAATAGGCATGTTGGGAAAGTGTAACAAATTTTCGGCTTAAATAAATAATAAATTCGTTAATTAAAAAATTATACCAAAACAAATAATATAAAATAAAATGGTACCATCTTTCTTTGCTTCTTCATATTTCTCTAATTGTATTAAACTAAGAAAAAAAAGAAAGATAATAATCAGCTTGAAATTTCAAATATTTAAAATACAACCACTCTTTATGTACCATACCAAGTGCATCTGCTCAATAGTGGTAAAGGTGCGTCAGGTAATTTATCAACAAGATATCCGAAAATTTTTACAGCTTCGTCAAGTTCATTATTTGCTATTAACTGTGAGGCTTTTTGTACGAGTTCTGGTCCACTAAGACGTTCCATCTTATTCTGCTAATGTTGGTATGAAAAAAGCATCTCAAAAATGTTTTCACGTGTAACAATAGGCCTGATCGTTCGGAATTTTGATCGGCTGATGAAATTGTGTGACCTGATCAACAACCAAAGAAAATATTTTATTAAATGAAAAATAAGGTGACCATTCAATAAGCCAATCAAAATACTCAGTTTTGATTTTAATTACATATTAGGATTGGTTAATGGATTTTTAATCAAAAATCAGAATTAAACAGGCTTAATAGTAACCCTGTTTAATTAGATTGATCACAAAATGAGCCCCTAAATGATTGGTTAGTATTTCAACCTGTTTATCTGCAATCCATATTCGTAAATAGATATCTACCATTTATGGTTATATATATATGAATAGGATTTTTTAAACAGATATAGATAATTAAAGGATATTTGTAACAGATTATCCAGATTATCTGTATTACTAAAGGATTATCTATATGAACTTTTCTAATTTCGTTAGATTTTGACCACCTGGCTTTAGAAACAATAGTTAGATTAACTTTTTTATTTCTTTTTTTTATTACTTTTTTTTGTTTCTTTTCACTAATTTTGTTTTTCTTCTTTAGATCCTTTAGTTCTTCAGCCACTTAAACTATGGAAATATTGTAATAAATCTCCATATATTTAGATTATTAAAGAGTATTCAGATGGATCTAATTGGGTTACCCTTACGGACACATCAGGAGTCAATTGTAACAATTGTAATATGATTATGTGTTAGTGCATTAAAGTAGAATCAACGCGTATTTATGTGTGTGCATGTGACGTTCCTGATGGGTTTGTAGGGGTTTTCATTAGAATATCCAGATAATCTTTAATCTGTTACTACAGATATTCAGATTGTATTTTATTAGACGGATTAGATTGATAGGTGACAAATAAACCTTTTTTTTTAATTAAAAATAGAATTAATTTTTAAAGATAAAAAAAAATAAAAATACTGAAAAATTTATTAAAACTTCAAAAATTAAATAGACTGGTCCAACTATTAAAATTTTATTGTTTTTTTTCTTGAATATAAAGAAAGATTTGAAAAGTTAAAGATCTATTTAAAATATTTACCTTAATTCTAATTCTAATTTAACCTTATAATCCCTATAAAAAGTATTTATATTTAAAATATAATTAAAAACTTTTTAAAATATATTTAAAAAATACTTAAAATATATTTAATTTAAAAATTGCGAAATACTTATAATATACTTAAATGTATTTAAAATTATCTTAAAATATATTTCTAATATATTTAATTTTTGCCCAAATACTTAAAATATACTTAAATTATATTTAAATTAAAATTTAAGTATATTATAGATATATTTTTTACATACTTAAAATATTCTTATAATATATTTCATAATATATTTTAAGTATATTTTAAGTATGTAAAAAATATACTTATAATATTAAATCTTATAATATACTTAAATTTTAATTTAAATATAATTTAAATATATTTTAAGTATATGGGCAAAAATTAAATATATTAGACATATATTTTAAGATAATTTTAAGTATATTTTAGATATATTAAAAATATATTATAAGTATTTTGCAATTTTTAAATTAAGTATATTTTAAATATATTTTAAGTATATTTTAAGTATAATACTTTTTATAGGGATAAATTCATATATAAATAATGTAGCTAATTAGAAAATTGAATTCTATTAGTCTATTTACTTTTAAACTAAATTAGATTTATTGTAAATTTTTATTTTTAGATAATTGATTATTAATGTGGTTAGTGGTCAGTTAAATAGATTTACAAAAATTAGTGTTCTTCTAAATTAATTTATAATAAACAATATATTTACATATTAATATATTATAAATAATATAACTAATTTAATCAATCAAAAAACTGTATCCAATTATATATTTTTTCAGTCAATTTAATACAATTACTTTACAAAAACTTTAAGTTTTCAAGTGATATCATTTTGATATTAAATCTATATTGAAATGATATTGAAATGATATTGAAATAATACCATTAAGATAAACTTAACGATATCGATTCTATATTGATTAAAAATGTTAAGTTTCTGTAAAGAATTTAGTTCAATTTGTTTAGTATAATCACTATAATGCATATAATTATTTTATTATTCTTAATAAATTATAATAAATATATTGGATTTGTTCTGAATTGTTTTTTTTTAAAAAAAAAGATTAATAACTACAAAAATCTTATACTATTAAATTATATTACAATGTTAAAATAATAAATATTTATTTATATAATAATATGATTAAGATGATAGATCTTTTGAAGACTTGCGATTCTAAAAAAACTACCAGTTTTGTTAGTTTATCATATGATCAGTAAGGACTATAAGAGACCGCATCTTATATAATCTTTTTGCATATAAGACTGGAGAGGACCATGGTCTTTAGGACTGCTGTTGACCATTTTTATTCCTTATACTTTTACTTGTTTGAATTATTTTAAATATGCTAGCACCATATATTATTAAAAATGTTGTTGGTTTACATTCAGCCCACAAGGTAGCCATTATCATTTCTTCTGGAATGTTGTAAATGACAGCTGAAATTTCTCTTATTGTTTTCTTTTTTGGAGATTCCAACTTGTGGAAAACTATCTCACAAGTGATAGATATACTTTTCAGATCAGTCATCCAGAACTTTTTAAACTGGGGAAGGGTGAATGAATTTAAAACTATTTTGACTCTAAGAGTCTAATATTTGTGTTGCCGTTTAACTGACAACTTAATAGTTTTGCCCTATAACATTAATTCTCCTAAAATTTTCTCAACATTCCAGGTATATGGGGTATCATATACAATAATATCATTTATCTTTCTTTTGAAAAGTTTTAGATGTTATAGGTTAATTAATAGGTATTGGGAGTGTAGCACATACTGGTTTTGGTATCAAAACGGACAATAAAATTTAGGCCGGCACTATCTAAAAAAGGCAAGATTTTCATGAAAATTTAGGTTCTTTTTAAGCAAACTCAAATGTAACCTTTTTATATATTTTTTGGGGTCTTGGCGAAGCTAAGTAGTTTAGCAAACTGTCGAAATGTTGAAAAGGTTAAACTTGATGAAACTATATTAAAGTATTAATAAAAAATTAGCGAAACTTGATTAAAAATGAAACCTATAGTAAATCAGAATATTATAAAAAATTGGCAAAACTGAAGTTTAGACATTTAGCCAAATTCAAAACTAGTTTAGGCAGACCACTTAGTACCAATAATAGTGTAGATTCTTCTCAATGTATTGGCATCTCCTATTATTTATTTGTCATAGCGGTTACTTCTCTCTGAAATAAAATAAAAATAAAATAAAATCATTTAAAGTACTATTTATATTATGACAGGTGGTGTAGGACCCCGAAATATACATAAGAGGGTCAAGAGGGTCAGGTCAGAGTTTGCATATAATGAGTCAAAAAAATCATGTAGATCATTCCTTTTATGGATAATTCCAGCCAAAATAATGTTTCCTAATTTAGATAATGGCTGAAATTATCGTAATTCCGGCCCTGAAAGAATGCGTATTTTGGATCACTTCTGGACCTGACCTCTACATATATATTTTGGGATCCTAGTGGTGTAGTAAGATAGGACCCTGGACATCTCTAAAACAGGTCATAAGTCACACTTTTAGACAATATGGCATAGTAGCCTTTATCTTTATTAATTATTATTGAACTTTACAAATTATATATAAGAAAAAAAGAAAATAAAATAAAAACTAACTAAAAACAAAGTTATATAGTTTTATAAGAAAAAATTAAAATTAAAAGAAAAATCAAAAGTATTTTGATGATTGTATCCTACTGGGTGGATATAGCTTATGATAATTTGTTTGTATGGTATATAAACTACATATCAATAAAGCATATATAAATCATTAAAAAAAAAAAAAAAGAAAAAAGAAAAATCAAAAGAAAATTTGCTAATACTAATACTTCCTAAATCTTCTTTTTTGATATATTTATGCTAACAAAATAATGAATGACATGCCCACTATAAAATTGACACTCTATCCTGCAAAAGCTGTTATTAAGTAGCACCGTTAGATGACCCATACAACCTGAATAATCCATATTGCATTGAGTTTTTCAACCAATCAGTTAGTAAAGAAGAATAAAATAAGTACGAAGACTTGAGCAAAGAAATGTTTATCATATGTTCCCATAAACTTTTGTCATAGGAGCACAGATTCCAAATTCTTTTACAGAATTTGTTGATAAAGTTGTTATGAATGGCAGTTATCATGTTCATCGCAGAAGCTAAAGAATTAGCAAAATCATTCATATAAGTCTATACTCGATAATCACATCAATTTTCTGAGCTGATTCTATATCATGTGATCCGGAATTCAGCCAATAAAAAACCAGGATTTCTTGTGTAAAGTACAGTTTTTGATACAAATAAGATAAAATATAAGAAAAAGTAGATTTCAGCAATAAATAGCAACTACCATTTCATAAAAGTTATACATTGATAAAAAAATTTTTTTATTATGATAATTCGGGCTGGCATTATCACAATGCATGGGAGTCTGCCCAAATTATCATAAGTTCTGGCCAACATATTTTGTTTCAAATTTGGGCTGATCATATAAAAATCATGCAATTTCAAATACTTATAACTTTTTACATAAATCTTCTTTTATAGAGCTTACCTCAAAAAATAAAGTTACCAGTTTATTTTTTCTAAATTGTATTTTTTTAAGGAGTTGAAAGATTTTTAAGTGTTACATTTTTATTGTCAAGTATAGGCTTCTGGCACCATACAAGCCAGAATGAGCTTTAACCTTATGAGGTATGATGGTTAAATGTTTGTCAATAATCAATTGTTGAATAATAGCTC